CAGGCGGTCAGGGAGGCAGCTGTTCCTGCCCGGGCCGCGCTGTTCGCTGTCCCCCGTCAAGGCGGGAGTTTTAGCTGCTCGCGTTCCAGACGCGTGTGCAGCTGGTTTTGCTTTCAGGCAACTCCTCGGCTTTTTCGTCTACGGGGAAGAAAAAACCCCTGAAGGAGTTTGAGGAGGAGTCTGCCAGTGCTGAGGCCAGGCTCTGGGCCGGGGATCGCGGGTGGGAGAGCTGGTAAAACCCTCTCCTGGGCTTTTCTGGGTGATTTGTAAAGGTCTAAGTGCCAGACATAAAGCGTATACTTGGCAACCTTTGCACGTTACCTTTTGCAAGTGACGGGTGAAGGCATATCTGTGTAAATTAATATTCACTGTTAAGTGTCCTTTAGTTCAAGTAAATGGCTTTTCTGGATGTGTAAAAAACTTTGTAGCACATCTTGTCCCGATGAGAAATTGAGATTTTTATGTGGTTTTTTTTCAGGTTTTTAGTACTTTTCAACGTTCCCATAATAGCATGATGTCTTCGGTGATTTCTAAATATACAGAAAAAATCAGGTTCAGTCTCCTTTGGGAGTTATGAGCAGCTTGTGATGAAAGAAGCTCCTCAGAAAGTTGTGAGTAGACGGATTGCTCCTACTAAAAGTAGTAGATACTTTTTCATACAGGATCCACATCTAAATATTTTCCAGAGTATGCTCTGGTGAGTGCTGCTGTCTGGATACATCCTGGAGTGAGCCCCTGCACCCTCTGGGTGCGTGAACTTAGAAAGGCTTAAGGCAAGTTGTGTCATATTTTACTCCTGACAGGCATCCAAACTTGTAATAGACTTTGTTAGGTAGTTTTCTATTTGGAATAAATCCTCATTTTGAGTAGCTGCTCTTTCTGTTTTGTGGGTGTCCCCATGACATAAGCATCAGTCGTGGTCTTTCCAAAGCAAGACAAAGACATTTCTACCAAAAAAAAAAAAAAGTTTTCAGGCAGTTGGAAATTAAATTGTTTAGCCAAGTATTTTAGGGAAATTTAATCTAAGTGATTGATTTTTATATCATCTGTGAAAATAGAACTAACCTCAAAAGATCAGCTTATCCTTTTATACCAATAGCAAATGTACAAAATTAAATCTAGAGGAATGGTCTTTTGATGTCAATCAAAGAGATATAAATGTTTGGTCTACTCCTTTTTGAAAGATTGATCCTGGAATTACTGGAAAAACCATATGCTCTCACATACTACTGCTCTCAATTTTACTGTTATAGACCAAATAGTTATTATTTCTCCCTTGCAAAATTCCACCTGTCAGCGATGCTGGTTTGCATATGAAAGAAACTGGCATGGTACTGATATCTATGAGTGTGTCTAATATCACAGCATTCAGTCACTTCAGGATGTGACACACCTGTAATGATAGATTTGGGATAAATATAAAAGACTCAGTGTGGATGTGTTTTGGAAGCAGATTTTGGATATCAAATGGTTTTTTTATTAAGCCTTTTACATTTGCTCACATAAAAATATCTTTCTTGTCCTTACATGGTATTTTCTTGGGATTTTGTAAACTCTTATAAGTTCATAGTAAAAAAACTTCAGCCCAAGACAGTGATGTAGGTAAAAAGTTTGTTAGCTTGAGGGTGAGGGAATAATAAATGATGGAGGGAAAGCTAAAACTGTTCATAGGGTAGGCTGAGGGATATAAGGAAAATGTGTGATGAAATCAGGCTTTGCTAATTCTGCACGTTATGGAACACTGTGCTTTATTGCAGAAACCTACATTTCAGTTTGTTTTCTTCACATCAATGGGAATTAACTGATGTTTGTCATGAAGGGAGAGATCCCCAAGAGGAACGAGATGCACTGTGGACTTTCAAAGAAAGTTGAAGCTGCAAGAACAGGGAGAGCTTTATTTAAAGCCATTTTAAAACAAGTGAGTAATTGAGGGCTATGTTCCGTTATTTTTAATGCGACAGGAGGAAATCTTAGCCACATTAAATACAAGAAAGAAACGTTTGCTGTACAATGCCTGATTACCAAGATCTAATTGGAGAACATGCTTTGTAAGTCACTACAAATTTTATTTGTGAAGACTTAAAGCTAATCAGAATAGATAATGAACATTAATCTTTAGGCCCCTGTTGTTTGAGCCCACCTAGATGCCATAAAGAAGCGCAGAAAAGAGCAAAGAGAGCTCCTTGCTCTCTCCTATCCACCTCCTATTGGGGATGGGGGGGGAAAAATTCAACAAAAGTCTTGAGGATTGAGATTAGGAACAGGGAGGGTTTGCTCACTGCTTATGGTCATGGGCAAAAACCAGAGTAGACTTGCAGGGAAAAAACATCAATTTAATTTAAACACAAAACCACCACCAGTTTACCAATCAGTTAGATCGGAGTAGGATGGTGAGAAAATAAATACAACTGGATCTCAAATACACCTGCCCCCATCCCTTCTTCCCAGCTACCTCTTTCCCATCCAGCAGCACAGGGGGGCAGGAGATGGAGGTTGCAATCTGTGCATCGTCCATGCTGCTCCTCCCTCCTCAAGGAGAGGACTCCTTGCAGTCTTCCCCAGCTCTGACATGGTGCTCCTCTTGTGAAAGACAGTCCTCCTTGAACTTCTCCAGTGGGAATCCTTCCCACGTGGTCATGGGTTTTCCCGAACTGCTCTGCTGTGTGTCTCTCCTGCAGGCTGCAGTCCTCCCAGTGATGGAGTGCTCTAGCATGGGCTTCCCTCAGAGCCTTGGCATGCTTTGGCCGTGGTCCTCCATGGGCTGCTGCATCCTGGGCCGTTCACCACCATTAATCCCCTCAAGCTGCAGGGCCTCAGCCTGCCACCTCCCCACGGGCCTCAGTGAAATCTCTGCTCTAGTGCCCTTCTCCTTCCTCACCAACTTGGTGACTGCATGGTTGCTCCTCTTGCCTCTCCCTCCTCTCCAAAACAAAGAACTCCTCAACGCAAAGGAATGGAAGTTGCCCAGCAGGTTTCTCCTCTTAAATGCATTGATCTCAGAGATGCTGATTGACCTCACCTTGGCCAGAGGTGAGTCTGACTTCTACCTAGGCTGAAGCAGGCTCTGGAAGCTTCCTGCAGGAGCCACTCCTACAGCCCCCCCACTACCAGAAAAACTCACCAGACAGAAACCCAACACAGCCCCCTTTACAAACTGAAAAGCTGCAGTAAGGGCTCCCAGAGTCATGGGTTAGGGCTGGGCCAGCCTCTAACACGGACAGATGCTCTCTGACCCATCAGGTGTTATCACTGCTAGTAGCAGGGGCGGTCTACAAAAACATGCTGCTAACTTCAGAACGTGCAGCCTTTTAGAAGAGACTAAACTGAAAAGTAAAAAGAAAAAAATCACTGAACAGGACTGGGTTTTAGCTAAACCCAGGACACAGAGTCTTCTTTTCTCCAGGCTGAAAAACCTCAACTCTCACAGCCTTTCCTCATAGGAAGGGTGTTCCATTCCTCTGATCATTTTTGTGGCCCTCCTGGTTGTTTTGAGTCCACTGAATTTAACTCTTCAGTACATCTAGGAGTTACTACAAGGTTCTGGATTTCAGTCCATGAGCAAGGTTCCAGGAAAGGAACCTCCAAGGATAAGCTGGATGGGGCTCTGAGCAACCTGACCTAGTCGATGATGTCCCTGCTTGTTGCAGGGGAGTTGAACTAGATAGCCTTTAAATGCCCATTCCAACCCAAAATGTTCTATGATTCTGTGAAAATATTTGCTGTTCCTGTCTATTATGCATAGTCATAGTCCCTTTTCCTATAAAGGAAATGCACAGTGATGACATAATAATGGAGTAACTATCAAAATTAAGCAAACAAGTTACCGAACAGGAGGAGAGATGTTCTTTAGGTTTGTGTTTTTATTGAGGTTTCTGATTGGTTTATTTTCAGAAAATGCTCTTGCACTTTCCTATGTCGCCTCTGAAAACTGATTTTGTGTAAGTGCTTGAGGTCTTTGAATATTAAAAATTGTTTCTGTTGCCATAAAGCAACTCCTTCTAGTCAGTGAAAGCTTTTTGCTATTTTTCTTCTAAATTCCAGCTATTTGACTCTAAAATCTGAAAGATCTGTCTTTGTTTTGTCTTTCCAAGACAATTCTGAAAAGTTTCCGTTCTCTGTCAGTTAACTGGCAAGTGTTACCAGTGTTTTATATTGATGTCCTGTTGCAGATAGCAAGAACGAAAAACCAACAATACCCATCCGCCTTTTCCTATGTTTTTCTACTACTTTCTCTACTTTGTTTTATCTGAGCTACCATTGAGCATAAGACCATTTTATGTAGCTTGTGTGCTACACTGGTAGCGCAGCTGTAATGTCATCTTGTCTGACTTCAGAACTTGGTCAAAAGATGATTTTACTCAGTTTATTCTCAGCATCTGGGATAATTTTTGTCATTTCTGTACATGTTATGAAGTCAGTTTTTATGAAAATCTGTATACCTTCTGTTTGTTGTTAAATAATGTTTCGTATTTCTGCCTCTATAGGATACTCCAAGAATTGGTAAAGAACAAGCTTTGTAGTTAATTGAGAATTTATTGTGTCAAAACTTGCTGTAAAGGTAAAATGAAAACGTAGGTCATATGCTGAAGTACTTTGATTTTATTCAAAGTCCTGCTAGTATGTAATTCAGCTCTGAGACACTATATGTAATACTTCAGGGAAGGGGGAAAAGAGATTACCACATTTCTTACTTCCTTGGCTAAATTACGTTATGCTAGGCAAGCTTCTTAATTACTTCAGACATTAGCTGTCTCCTGGCTCTTAAGCTGGCGATGTATGTTGATGCATCAGAAAGGAAGTCAAAGGGACCGATGAGAGAATTCTGCTGATTTTCAGTTGGGTTGTGGATCAGGACATGAGATACCAATGCTTTCCATGTTTGATTCAAAACAACTGCAGGCAATATGGTAATATAGCTTGATTTCTCAAACTTAATATGTTTTCTTCTGCTGCTGGATGCAAATAATATTTTGTTTGGGTTTTTTTTATGGAAATATAATGTGTTTTTTCTTCCATCTCTGAAGCTTTGTGTTCACTTTGAATAGGGGTAAAAAATTAGATCAGTACACCAATTCTTATACTGCTAATAGGTAGTAATACATATTGTAGTTTCTTTTCATTCCAACAATATCTGCTTTTTCTTATGCTTTCTGTTTTGTTTCCTTGGATCTGCATGTGAGATTTAGCATTATAGGCTTGACCTTCTTCGCAGGTTATTAGCAGAAGAGTAATTGATTTCTGTGATTCAGAATAACAGCCTAGACTTAGAAATGTGCATCTGCAGATTCAGTCGTGGTATCTGATTCCTTATCAGACCTATTGACTGTCATTCTAGTATGCTGGATGAAAGCTTTGGCTTATGGTTCTATTCTGCTACACCTTCTCAAAATAACATTTTCCTTCAGGACTTCTGCATTGAAGAACATGAAAATGGCCAAGTATCCTGTTACTAAAAATGGTTATGCAAGAAAAAAGAAACAAATAAGCATGTAACTACTTTCCCTCGGAATATTTTCCCACCATTCAGGTTTCTGTCACTCAGGGATTTTCTGATCCAGAGTTAGTACTTTCTTATTCTGTCAGCCCCCAATATACATATTTTATTTTAATGATCTAATCTTTGTGTTTTTTAGTCTTTCAGCATCTACAGTATCTATTGGCAAATCTGAACTTCACTGTATGACAGGAATTGTAACTTATTTTAACTTCAGTATCTGATGGTTTCATTTCTCAAATGAAATCAAAATTCCCTCTCCCCTGACAAATTTTTGTATTTCGAGAAAGTTAGCAGCTTTTCCGTGTTCCTTGATCTGCTGTTCAAAATTTTGTAGACCTTAATTTTGGAAGACGAAAGGACAGTCAGTAGCAATGCGATGGTATCTCCTCTGGGTTTATGTGTCATAATCCATTATGTTGTTGCAGGTAAGGTGTTCTACTCAGTGTTATCTTTCAAAAGGGTGGTTGGGGGCTCCCTTTTTTGGGGGCTCCTTTTTAAATGGATGGGCTAGATAAATTACCAGCATTTACCTGGATGAATAAATTGACATCCTCTGTTCCTAACAATTTCCAGTGTTTCAGGAGTTTAAAAGATAGATCATGCCTGTTCTCGAAGATTTCTTTTGTTAACGAGTATTTAAAGTGATGATTAAGCAGGAGCCTCTTCACATGTAGGAACCTATTAAACTGAAGTGTAGATAATGTTTTTAGAAAAAACTCATAAAGACAGACTCCCTTGCTCAGTTCATGTTTTATTTTCATGCCTTGTGCAAAAGATAAAAATGACCCTGCCTGGTCGTTTTGAAAATTACTGTCCATGGCAACAGCTTTCTCTGTGGCATCAGTTGAAGATATCAAACTGGTGTTTGTAGGAGTTTGCAATATGGCTGTCTGATACAGAATAGCTTTTTGATTTCTTTTTTTTCTCTAAATCATTACAAATTAGAGTATTGAAATACTTTTTCATAACAGATTTTTCATTTCAGGTTTAAACAAAATAATTTAAATGGCTTCTTCTTGTTCTTACAGGATGGTCAAGACACATTAAAAATGGAGTTCCTTGCTTTGAAATTGAGTGGCAAAAAACAGGTTGGTCTGGTTTCTATGTGCATTATGGGACAAAACACTTAACAGAAAACAAGAATAGCATGCTTTAAAGAGGAAAAAGGTTTGATAACATTATGAGGCAATGAAATGTGGGCAAGATTGAAAACTGTTCTATGAAAAGAGTAGAAAATGTACATCAAATTTCACATACCCTGAAAGTAAACGCAATGCTTAAAAAAATAATCTACTTAGAAAGCACGGGACTTGATCTTCAGGTACTTTTTTCTAGAACATGTTAATAAGACCTGAACTCTGTATTTCATGTCTTGTTTCACCATGTACCTGAAGCTGTGACTGTTGATGAGCTAGATTTTTTTCTGTGCTGACAGACTGCTACTGTTAGTATGCCTGTTTGTACCAGGATACTGGCAGAATGAAAAAGACTTTATGTGTATCTGAATCTCAAACATTATACTCGTTGTTTTCCTATTCCCTACTTTGATATGTGTGTATATACATGTCTAATGTGCATTCACTAATTTTTTAGAACATTATGTTGATGCAGAAAATGAGCTTATGAAGTTGCTTGTAGTTCCAGTTAGTGATCTTCGCTCTCAAATGAATTTGAAGATCTTGATGTGGAATTCTTTCTGTGCAAGACTCCACATCAGATATAAAAACCCACCCAGAAGACACACAAGAGAAGTACCGAATCAGAAGATCTAGCATTAACTGCAGCTTCCTGCATCACAGTTGTTTGAATGCCAGCATCAGCAGCTGCTCTTCCTCTGACTGCATCACCTTACTCACTCGTACAGAGAACATCGGCTGAGTCATCTCTGTTGCCTGCACAATTCACTAAAAAAGGGCTATCGTCCTCTTCCTCTGTAACAGCTGGTTTACAACTGAGCAGCACTGATCGGGAAGCGCCTTCTTCAGCACCTCAGCAGTCCGCAGGGCTGATACCCATGATCCAGCAGCTGACTTAACTACATGTATAAACCACTCGCATCTGCTAGCTCATGAAACAGTAAGAAATAGCTCGGAATGTTCTGATGCTGTGCATCTGATCATCATCATCTTAATATTGAGGATGATTTGGTTTCAGATGATGCTGTGGGACAATTTCAGAAGCGATCGTTAAGTGAGCATGTACTTAAGGAGACTTCCATTCCATCAAAGCCTTTGTTGTCTGAAGATGTAGTCTTTGAGGTGTTTTGAACAAAGGAAACAGTGAATCCTGGTAGAGATTATGTCTCTGTGTCTTGTCACTTAAATAAACTAGTGCAGGAAAGTAATAATGTGCTACCAGAAAACTGCAAGGGAATCCAGTGAACACCTTGGTCAAGATCAGTACAAAAATTCTGGCAGTCTGGCTGAAATGATGCAAAAAGACCATAGTATAAGCAGTTCAATATCTCTAGCCTTCAGTGCACAAACAACAGAGACATTGCCTCTTGGGTGCAAAATGCTTCCAGTGTCTCAAAACCAGCAGTTTTTGTAACTGGCTGTCACATGAAAAAAAAGCTTGTACTCATACTACTTGGAAAACTTCTTTTAAAAAGAGCGTGTGTCAGAATAAATGTTCTTCTAGTGAAGACAGTGATGATGGGAACATGAGTACAAATCTGATTTATGAGCAGTAAAAAAGGCAACCGAACCCTGTCAGTTTAAAAAATGTTTTACAAAGAAAAGGAGTAATGTTGTTACTATAGCAAAAGAACAGTGACTCAGCCCTTTTAATTAAAGTGAAGAAGAAAAAGACCAATTTTAAAGAATCTGGTAGTAGTTTATCATTGTACGTATCTACAAAACTATCTTTTGTTGGGGAAGTTAGTTGTTCCCAAAGTCCAGAGCAACCGATTGGAAGGTCAAGTTGTGGTCCCACACAAGAAGCCAACAGTGCTGTTGTGCCTTATGCATGGGCAGACAGTCCCCTATCCCTGTCTGAACGACTAAAAGGAAGAATCAAAATTAATTAGGTTATCCAAAAAGTAAGTTATGATAACAGCTCTGAACCTTCAGCTCTTACAGAGTTCTTTCTCGAAGTTTCAGCAGTATGCTCAGTCAGTTTTAAGTGGGAACGGTTTTGATGACTCAGAAGTGCTGTCTAATACCTCGTGCTGGTGCTAAAGTTTGAAACTAAAACGTTAGCAAAAGTACTGAATGGTTAATTATAGGCAAGTGCCAGTTATTCTGGGCTTGATTACGTTCTGAACTTGATACATAAGCACCAGGATATAGTATACAAGGGAGTAAGGCTGTTTGTTTGTGATAAAGTATTTTCTTCTAGCCAGTCATGAGGATTTTGTGTGCAGCTATTAGTCCTTCTGATGGGAAAACCAGACTTATTGGGGCTTGCACTGCTGTTCGGTATTATAATAAGACAAAGTGATACAGCTTTTTGCAACTGAAATTTTCCATTCTGCTCCACTAGCTTAATTTTGTTGCTTTTAAAATAGGTCATCAAATCCTGGGATGCTGATTGTGTTGATTAGCTCTGAAGGACGAGACAGAGACACACAGCAGATGTACTTTGTAAGGTACCTAGATTTATATCTGCCACATCCCATAATTAACTGTTCTTTGAGTATGTACATCTTCCAAAGAATGGAATAAGCCATGTAACGATATTCTGGTTTTGTTGCTGTAATATCTAATATTTAAAGGAAATTGGATGGCTCTTTCAATCAAACATTTATAATTTGGGCCATGTTTTTCTTAAGAAGATAGAAAGTCCCAACTAACACTCACGTTTACTGAGAATGAATGTTAAGTTACAGAAAATCAATACCTAGTGATGATATTGGAGATTCCTTGAATAGCATGGTGTAAATCTTTGGTTTTAAAGGGTGAACCTGAATACAATTACATTTTGGAAAGTGTTTTTCCTACCTCTTTAATATAGAAACAATTTCTGTTCGTACACAGGAAAAGAGTTGTCTTCAACAGCTCATTACAAAATGCCTCTTTGCCTGTGTTTAAGTGTTCATAATTCTTTCTGTGGACCAGCCAAAGGAAGGCCACTCCCAAGTCACAACGTTAACCATAGCAATTTAGAATATCTGTGTCTTAACAAAAATGTTGATTTTTATTCATAAAGGTCAAAGCTTTAAAAGTTAAGAAGCTAAATTCCAGATGCGTTTAAGGAAGAAATAGGTAGTCTATAGATAATACAATCTGTAGTTAGACAAAGCGGTAGTTTCTTACTTTCCAGTGTGGACAGGTGGAGAAATTTTATTTATAGTTGATTTTCCAAATGAGAAAAAATTCAAAGTATTGGAAAATTATTTTTAGTTTGGAAGGCGGTCTCTCTCACCTGGACACTAAACCATACAGCTAATGTGAGAAGGTAGCTAGAAGAACAGAATTGCTAAGGAGAATAAGTGGCAGTCACCGGGGGACTGCAAATGGAAGGATTCCTTATGCAGTGGTCAGTAGTGGAGAAGTTGGATAATTTTTTCGTTAAAAAAACCCATTGGTTATGTACGATTCTTTTCCTTGCTGCTGATTTTGGATACCGAAGGTTGGAATTGAGAGTTTGAATCTTCATTGTTTGCTTTTTTGTTGGAGAGATCATACAACTTTACCCTGAGTATGTGGGTTTCCGTGCTTTAAGGTTTTCTTTAGAATTGGGGAGCTAGGGCAATTTTTGGAGGTTTTTGGTTTTTTCCAGATCTGGCTGGGATGACTGCTTTAGTGGATGGTTCACTGAAAATACTGTGCTGGATTTATGACAAGTTCATGTTTTACAGATGGTGAAAAACAGAAGTGAGATATAATGATAAGATTTTAAGAACAGCAGAGGGGAAAAAAAAACCCCAAAAACTATGTTGCTGATTATTGCTACAGATTAATCTCATGTCATAAGTACAGTTAAAGCATTAAAGGCAGAAAAAAATACATTTTTTTCATTTGCAAGGCATCTCAATTTTGTGTGACTTTTCTGCCACTAGTTTAGAAGCAGCAATAGATGTGAAAGCCAGTGTACAGGATGCCCTATCTCGTTTAGGCTGTAACTGCTCACTGCAGCAAATAAACACAAGAACGTTTATAGTTGGGGGTGTCTGTTCCTTGAATTAAAGTTGTGATTTGTTACAGAAAGGAAATTGCAGTTTTTAAAGTGTTTCAATTTATCATCCTTCTGTGATTTACTCAGTCTAAGGATTAGTAAATTTATCATTAGTAAAATGAGTTTTGTTCTTTAGAACAGGTTTTACCATGCCAAAGCTGACTGCGACCTCTCACGCTTGGGAAGATGATGTTTCAGTGAATTGGGTACACGCAGTGTAACTTTCTTCTGCAGGAAATACTACAAGATAACACCAGGCTGGCTGCAAGTATACAAGACTGTGATGCATCAGCCCGACGACCCTGAATATGTTTTCATTTATTGTCTGTCGTGGTCAGCCCAAGCAGGCTGTACCAGGGCGCTTCATCTAAAGTAAAAAGAATATACCTGCTCTGGAGGTGGGGCAAGTAAAGGGTGCATCATTCTTCAAGCGTTTTTCTGAAAATACTTCTGCAGAACTGCTGTACCAGCCCAAGGACGTTACCTGGTCCATCACTCCTAATGGTTGGCATCCCTCTAGCTTGAAAGATTCCTACAAGAGAAACAAAGAAGATCCATAGGTTCTTAGCAGTATAAATATTATTATTTCCACTTCTAACTACATGTTTAAATACTGTTTATGTGTAGCAAATTTATTTAGCGTAGCTTAACAAAGAGAAACAATTATTTGGCATTCCCTGTGATCGCAATTCACTGTTTCAGGTCCATACGGAATCAACAAGAAAGGAAAATAAAAACTGTTTAAATCCATGTAAACAATATTTACATATACATAGAGAGCTACAAAAATATAACTTAAAAAGCCACAGCCAAGCCACTCCTCAATGTCTGTATATTCCACTATCAAGCTATGTGTGCTCTTAGTTTTTAGATACGTATCCTCATCATCATCAATACATACACGCGCAACAACAGGAAAAATCTCTTTTCTTTGCATTTAGCAGTTTTTACTTCGCTGGATAGAATTGATGGACTCAGAAAATCTTTTGCTGGTTAACAGTGAAATTTCCTAATTTGAGAAGGGGATTATTTAGCTTTGAGGATTTTCACAGGCTTGGCTCTGTGCTGTTGTGTCAAGAAAGATGCTTGGAAATACAGTGGTAAAAGAGACTAATGGCAGCTGTTACTTGAGACAAGATAGTCTTTTCATGTCTAAAAAGGTGTCAGACCCTGCCATATTATATCAGCAGATAAAAGGAGACTGCGGGTAGAATACCATGGAGACTTGTTATAAACCTAAGTGCTACTGACAAACCAGTAAACTTAGTGCTAGATTTAGCGCTTTTTCTTTCAGGAAACAAAACACTTTAACTGTTTCAAAAAAACAAAATTACGACGGATGACAGAAACACTCTGCACAGTTCTCTTGCTCATGTATCCTTCATTGTAGCTACCATCAGTACTGAAATTAGATTAATAAGATTAATCATGTATCAAACTTTAAAAGTTCCTTAAAACCAAGCCTTTTCTCCACACCCCACCCCAACTTCCCGTCACAGAGTTGGAGAAATTTTGTCACTTTAAAGACTGACCATAGCTGGGGAAAAGGATGTGACCTTTGAAAATTTTGCTCCATAAAGGAGCGACCTGTACAAAAAATCCCCAAAGTGGATATTTAAAGGGAATTAGCTGCCTTACTAAAAATGAAGGAAGAGAAGCTAACCAGGGATATTTTTAATGCCAAGATAGGGTAGAAGTAGCTGTATGTTAGCATTTATATTATTTCATTATCTTACTTTAAAATGCAATTTGCTCTACCAGAGTACCTCCCCAGCCAAGCTTGTTCAACCAAACGTTCTTGACAGAGGTTGGATCTGTTGCAAGTTATGGGTGGTCCTTAGGATGGGACGTGGTGGGCCAACCACGAGCATGGTCTCTTTTGGTTACATTTAGTGGCAAACTTACTAAATGAACCCTTACGTGCTTTCTCCTTCCTCCAATCCCAACATCCCAGTGCTGCCCTGGCAGTGATACCACATAACACATAACGGGCAGACAAGATAGCCCAGACCTTAGAAACTGTCCAAGTTTTATCTGCTACAAAAATATGAAATTTTTGGCCTCATTTCAGGTCAAATTCGGGCTGCCTTGCAGTCCGACACGAGTGCCAGGTCTTGCAGCAGCTTTAGCCTTTAAGCCTCTCTGTCCCTGAGCCAGCTGCAGTGCATTGTAGGCGTTTGCTTTGAATCTTTTTGCACTGGTGAGCTAAATTCACTGCCCGACCTGCAGCTGTGCTCAGGCTCAGAGTCCCCAAAGCCTCAAGTCTGATGGAAGAAAGGCCTCCAGGACTTACAGCCACACACATCTGTTGTACAGGGGCTTTAATAAGACTTTTCATCCAGACTGAGGTGTTGAATGGCCTCTTTACCAAGTAAGACCTGCAGGTTAGAAATGTGAGAAATAGTATCTTTTCCTCTAATTAGTTGCAGGACGGATGTCTCAGTATGACCTAGGAAGATGCTGGTTAGGAGGACAATGTCCTTCATTTGAGATACTGCTGAAGGAACAGGCAATTAGCAGTTCACAGATGGCTGCATGGCACTGGGGCAATTCTATCATTTCATTTTTTCTGTGCCTAAATTTTTGGTGTGATTTAACTGTGGGTAAATCCTCTCTCCAGAAAGCTTTCTTAGCCGTACAGGGTGCGACTCTCTTATATTCTTTTGAGTTTATAGAAATCTGAAAGTTTCCTGAGAGTAGGTAACCAGAACTACTACTTAGTAGACTTAACCAGGACTCTCTTATTCTGTTAGACAGATCAGAAGAATATGAGATGTCTTTTTCATAGAAGTTCTTAATGAATAAAGAATTTCAGTTGAAAGAGGAGAAAATTGGTTCAGTGCCTTTCTTGGTCCAGATGGGTTTCTGTGAACGTAGCCACACCACTCAGTTATGGACTTGGAGCCTTAC